TGGTACAGACCGTCTGCAGTTCTTAGCACTTCTTCATAGGTCCTTCTTTCTAAAACTTCTTACTATTCCTTCACAGAAATAAAGTGTCAAATGTATATCTGGCCAGTCTCAGTATTTGCATGAGTCTCCTTCCCTTTTCCCTTCCCTTCCCTTCCCTTCCCTTCCCTTCCCATCCCTTCCTTTCCCTCCCCTCCCCTCCCCTCCCCTCTTCTCCCCTCTCCTTCACTTCACTTCCCCCTTCCCTTTCCCCTTCCCTTCCCACTTCCCTTCCCCCTTCCCACCAGGCTGAAATCAGAACTGCAGCAACCAGGAGGAGAGAATCAGAACCCAGGGAGGCGGGTGGGAGAGGTCTGTGCCCTCTCTGCTCATTTGTGATACAAAGGAATGGAGGAAAAAATCGAGTAAAACAAGGATATGGCAATGGCTAAAGAAGCAGCAGAAGATGATGGCAAGGAAGGAGAAGTATAAATGAGAGGTGGGTGGGAAATGGAGGTGTCATGGTTTAACCCCAGCCAGCAGGTAGGACCACGCAGCCGCTCGCTCACTCCCCCTGGTTGGGATGGGTGGTGGGAATCGGATGAGTAAAAGTGAGGAAAAACTTGTGGGTTGAGATAAAGACAGTTTAACAAGTAAAGCAAAAGCCGCGCACACAAGCAAAGCAGAACAAGGAATTCATTCCCTGCTTCCCATGGGCAGGCAGGTGTTCAGCCATCTCCAGGACAGCAGAGCTCCATCATGTGTAATGGTTACTGGGGAAGACAAATGCTGTAACTCCAAACATCCCCCCTTCCTTCTTCCCCCAGATTTATATACTGAGCATGATGTCATATGGTATGGAATAGCCCTTTGGTCAGTTGTCCCGGCTGTGTCCCCTCCCAACTTCTGCTCGCTGGTGGGGCGGTGTGAGGAGCAGAAAAGGCCTCGAGTGCTTACCAACAACCAAAACCATCAGTGCGCTACCAACACTATTCCCATCCCAAACCCAGAACACAGCACTACACCAGCTGCCAGGAAGAAAGTCCACCCTATCCCAGCTGAAACCATGCCAGGAGGACTGTACCAGCCTGGGAGCGGGGAGGGCTGAACGTAAAGCACTCGAAATCCCGGCATCAGCCAAGAGCTTGAGCAGCGAAACAGAGAAATAAAACCTGCCCATGCATGGAACAAAGCTTGCTAGGGGAGAGGTCACGGAGCGGGATAAAATCACACTCCTGTATTCAGGAATGACAGACATCGTAGTAAAGGCCACTGAGTGCTAATTATGCAAAAAGAAGGGATAAACCCAAAGTGTTTGACTAAAAGTCACAACAGGGAAAGTGTTAAGAGAGTTAGGGGTAGAACTGGGAGCCTGACGGTGACATTGGCCAAAGATGGTCACCATCTCAGCAAACACGCATTTGTGCAGAGCCTTTGGTAAGCTGCAAAACTATGTATATGGGAAAAGATATCTGGCCTATAATGAATCGATAGGATAATGGGGGAATGGCTTCAAACTGGAAGAAGGGAGATTTAGATCAGATACTGGGAAGAAATTTTTCACTCTGAGGGTGGTGAGGCAGTGGCACAGGTTGCCCAGAGAAGTTGTGGCTGCCCCATCCCTGGAGAGGTTCAAGGCCAGGCTGGATGGGGCTTTGAGCAACCTGGTCTGGTGGGAGGTGTCCCTGCCCATGGCAGGGGGGTTGGAACTCGATGATCTTCAAGGTCCGTTCCAACCTAAACCATTCTATGATTCTATGAAACCAATTGCCGCTGCTGTCCCAGATGTGGAGGTGGGAGCAGAGGCTATGAAGGGTGACGGGGGCTGAGCAGTACAACAGGGGAAAAGCTCTCTTTGCCAGGACCAACAAGAGGTGATGGTGGTTTGGTATTGTAAGTAGTAGTGTAAGGCTACTAAGGTCATAGGGAAAAACATCATTTGATAGTTGCAGTTTAAAATAAATAGATGGGTAAAACATAGGTTTATAAAAAGGCATTCTAAATCAAAAGGGGAAAGAGAAAGAGACCTAATTAGAAAAAAAATCAACAGGGCTGAAGGACTCAAGGACTTGAATACAAAGGAAAGACTGGATTTCTTTATGCCAGAGCAGCAGAAATTATCTGGACATTGTACCTTAAGCAAAGGGGAAGGGTTTCACAGAAGACCCCCTGGCAGCTTGGTAACTAAGGTCATGGGAAATAGAAGAGGAGCATCACTCTTATAAGAAAGTTTTGTCTTCAAGATGAGGAAATATGGAAGATGATAGATAAATAATGGCATCTAGGAGCAGTTACTTCAACCAGGAGAAAAGAAATGGGGCTGTCATGCAGTGAGAAGGGTGTACAGATTGAAGGAAGCCTGGCAATATTTACAAAACCAATAAGCATTTTGCCTCCATTTTTAATAAAGATGATTATGTGAAAGATGGGAGCAGTAGGAAGATTAGTAAAAGGAACAAAGTCGTGGGTAATTACTGCAATGGGGAAAAACAAATGATCTTGTCCAGAGTACAGACAAGTCAAGTGTGTGAAGATGAGGGTGAAAGAAGCAAGAAGTTTTACTGTAGCCCTGAAATTATTCTGGAATACTTGCATTAAAGAAAGGGAGAGAAATAATTTACAATAATTTGGACAAATTTCAAAGAAAATAAATAAAGATATGAAGTATGAGATTACATGAAATGTTGCTTTAGCACTGTATCTTGCCCTGGTTAAACTTTGTTTCCCTTTTCCTTAAATAAAGGAAACGTGGTAGATGTAATCTATTTGGGGTCAATAATACCTGATAGTGTCCAGACATGAAATGCTATTTAAGCAGAGGAATGTGGGGGTCAGGAGACAACAACAGAGGGGTGTTTTGTGTGGGAAGTGTCAGACTGAAGGAAAGCTGCTCTGTGGGATTCGTCAAGGCTCCTGTCATCCTTCATATTTTCGTTATAGTGGTGTCATCGAGAACACGAGCATGCTAATGAAATCTGCTGTTGGCAGAGCTGGGAGACATCACCAGTTCAAACAAGGGTGGGAATAGTATACTGGAGAAACCGCATGCCTCTTAGAACTGGATTAATGAAGATACAATTAAATTTGATAATACTAATGACATGCAGAGATTAATCACAAAAATTTCTTCCATTAACTCCGAGATCAGCACTTGGAAAAGAAAGACTAGTTAATCACAAGATGAGTACGAGCTACGTAAAATGGGAAATGTAAACCCAGCAATGTCAAATAAGTAATTTCAGAAAAGATCTGGAGTACAATGTATGATTCTGTCGGCCAGTCAAGGGTAAGCCAAAGTGGAACAAGTATGCTGAAAACCCGCTATGATGATGAGGGACTGGGCAGCCCATTTCAGAGGAGGATGAAAACACTTGGTGTATTCAGCTTGTCAAAACAAAGAAAGTGGGGCTTGGGAAATGGGGGAACGGGGACAGTTAAAACTAAGGACCAATGTCAGCATGAGGACAAGTGGGTACAAGCTCAACTCTGCTGTCGGAGTAGCAAAACAGTGGGACAAGAGTGGCAGGAGCAAGATCGAGTCTGACTTCTTTTGAATGGAGCTGGAAGACTTCACAGACGGGATTATGTGGTGTGGTTGACTGCAGTGGCAATGAGATTAGATGACCAAGAGATCCCTTCTAGGAGCCTACAGAGAATTTTTTAACGCCATTCCGTAAATAAATACCTCGGCCTAACATACAGCAATGTGTGCAGCAGTGGTGCCTCTAGCGCGTAAAAGGATATGGTAGAAAAGGGGAAATGGGAAAGGGTGACAAAAATGAGATGACACCTCAATAAACCAGTTTTATAAAGAAGATGACTAATTAGAGCCTGGATGAAAGTTCTAAAATAACTGGAGAATGGGATATTCTCCCTCTGTCTCAGAATACCAGAAGCAAAACAATCAGCCAGACTGAAAGGTAGAACTTCTGGAAAAACTGAGATACAAAATACATTCTTGTAAAAGGTGTGATTGATCCACTGAGTCAATTGTTGTAGGAAGGCACTTGGACAAAACTTAAAATTATCATTGTACAAAGAAGGAGCGTGCATTTATTAATTGTGAGAAAATGCATTTTTATAATCCTTTACGCTAGCATAAAATTCATAAGCAGCGGCAAATTAATCTTCTCAAATTTTGCACCAGTGTCTTAAGTATTATGGACCAGAAAGAGCTCTAACACAGTGTGGACGGGCCTTCGCATCCATCACTCTTTTTAACACAAAATTTCCTATGTCTTCCTCCCAGTTATGCAGAAGCGACTGCTGTCAGAGACAAGGTCTTAGCCCGGATGGTGGTGGGTCAGAGCTGGTGCCAATACACACTTGTGCACTTCAGGGACTCATTTCAATAGTTTATTCGGTGCCACTGTTCAGAGGGTAAGTTTGCATGCAGCTTCCACCTTCCGTAAAGACACTTCCATGAATGAACTTTACTTTGTTATCTCGCGCTTTGGTAATTAACGTCTAACGCACGTCTTCAGAGAAACAAGAGGTGTGGACATGGTGTTCAGAAACACGGCCAATGTCTGCTCATTCCAGGGAAGTATTTACTTTCCAAAGCACTGTGAATTCTCTCTTTGGCTTTATAGGAGTAAATACAAGCAAGCTCACTGTTCATGGCACAGTACGTATGTCCTATGGTCCCAACATATAGAGCCAAGTTGACCGACCCCCATGAAAAGCCCAAGAAGAGAAGAGTTTACCCCCTCCTCTGACACAGCCCTGTAACACCTTCCAAGAGCAAAACAACAGAGAGAAGGAACAGAGATATTAAAAGAAACCACACACACAGGAAAACAACTTATCTCTGTGCTGGGAGAGATCTCCTGGCCAGCGATGGCCAGGCTTACGGAGTAAGATAGGATCTTCATTCCAGGGCAGAGAAAGGAGGGAGGGAGGGAGGGACAGGCTCCGTGCACCCTCACCTACCCACAGACCCTACGTGGTTTCTATAGCAGCACAATAGCAGACATTTTTCTCTCTCCACAAGAAAGCCTGAGTAATGTTCTGCGATTATATTAGTCTGCATTTTAATCAGATTGTATCTTCTCTCAAGCTTGCTTTCTCCCCCCTGGGCAGCCCATTTCAGAGGAGGATGAAAACACTTGGTGTATTCAGCTTGTCAAAACAAAGAAAGTGGGGCTTGGGAAATGGGGGAACGGGGACAGTTAAAACTAAGGACCAATGTCAGCATGAGGACAAGTGGGTACAAGCTCAACTCTGCTGTCGGAGTAGCAAAACAGTGGGACAAGAGTGGCAGGAGCAAGATCGAGTCTGACTTCTTTTGAATGGAGCTGGAAGACTTCACAGACGGGATTATGTGGTGTGGTTGACTGCAGTGGCAATGAGATTAGATGACCAAGAGATCCCTTCTAGGAGCCTACAGAGAATTTTTTAATGCCATTCCGTAAATAAATACCTCGGCCTAACATACAGCAATGTGTGCAGCAGTGGTGCCTCTAGCGCGTAAAAGGATATGGTAGAAAAGGGGAAATGGGAAAGGGTGACAAAAATGAGATGACACCTCAATAAACCAGTTTTATAAAGAAGATGACTAATTAGAGCCTGGATGAAAGTTCTAAAATAACTGGAGAATGGGATATTCTCCCTCTGTCTCAGAATACCAGAAGCAAAACAATCAGCCAGACTGAAAGGTAGAACTTCTGGAAAAACTGAGATACAAAATACATTCTTGTAAAAGGTGTGATTGATCCACTGAGTCAATTGTTGTAGGAAGGCACTTGGACAAAACTTAAAATTATCATTGTACAAAGAAGGAGCGTGCATTTATTAATTGTGAGAAAATGCATTTTTATAATCCTTTACGCTAGCATAAAATTCATAAGCAGCGGCAAATTAATCTTCTCAAATTTTGCACCAGTGTCTTAAGTATTATGGACCAGAAAGAGCTCTAACACAGTGTGGACGGGCCTTCGCATCCATCACTCTTTTTAACACAAAATTTCCTAT